TGTCTATTAAGCTATCCACTATCCCAGAGGTGGATAGGGGACGAGGATTCTCCCCAAATACCTGGTGTTGTCTTTGAAATGGATGAATGTGTACTTCTCATAACTTTAACCCTTAAAAGTTTGGGGTGTTTTTGAATCACGAAGTCAGTTGTTTCCGACTTTTGAGGCTCTACCAACGACTGGCTCTTTATTAAGTGAGCTTTGCTGGCTGATAGAATAACTTCTTGCTTACACCTTAGTCTCCCTGTTGCTTCCCCTTTCTGAGTCGTTCACAGGCAGTGTATGTCATAAGGAACTATGTAATTTTAGATATCCTTGGTCTTGAGCACAACACATTCTCATGATTTCCGTGATAGTCTTGCGAAGGAACTCAGGTTAGGTGTTCGAAGTCTAGCATAGCAATGAGCCGAATTTGGGAATCCTGGTCATTCCTCAGCCCCTGCTGTGCACTGAGCTCTGGCTCGCCTTCTGAGCACTCCTCGGGGGTTGTGGCAGAGAGTGGTTGCTGTGGACGGTCAGCCCCCCTCCCACTTGTAAACATGGTCACAGCAAGTCTGTGCTTTACTTGCCAAGGAAAGGTCTACCTCACCCCCAAAGCAGTCTGAGAGATAAGTTAGAGCTAAGAAGTGCTGCTTCTGAGTCTGGCAGCAACATTCCGAAGGAGAGCAGTTGGAAGTTTGTAAAGCCACCAAATTAGAGCACGGAGTTAGAGCTCTTCCACCTAGCAAAACTTAGAGAGGGACCTGGCATGAAGGAAAATGTGCAAAAGCGCCTCTCCACTGGGGCCGTTTAGCATTTTTTCTTTTTGTTAAGGATGGCACAAGAAGGAATATTTTATTTTGATAGCTTGTGGGCGAACAGTACTTCTAAGAGTCATTAGGACACCAAGGCCCCTCTGCATGTGCATCCACCCCCACCTCCTCCAGCTTTCCCACGGGCCACATGGACCAAGAGCCTCAAGGTTCCCAGAACCGGCTTATTTTAGGGTATTTGTGGTCAAAAGACCCACTGACATGGGCCATTAGCAGTATCTGGCAAGTTCTCACAAGTTGCTGTATTATTAGCCCTACGTTTGGAATTTGGTTAGAAAGAGAAGTTATGAGAAGGAAAGGAAAGCAAAATAGCAAATTACCCAAATGTTAACACAACCTGCCAACATCTTGCACTCTGGACAGAGGATAAAGCTTTCTGGCTCTACAGCCTTCTATCTGGGTATTTCAGTTTATCACCAGAAATCAGCTACCCCAATATCTAGGACACAGTGATTGTCTACCATCTCTATTTTTGCTAACTCCTAACAATATTGTGTATTAATGAATGGGCTAAGAAAAGGTCAAACTTCAAGTTGTATACACCTCTCCACTCACTACTATTTGAACAAAGCTTGATAAGGAAGTCAATTCAAATCTTACAGACGAATTGTCTGGAAGACTTCTAGATCAGCATTGACCAACTAAAATATAATGCAAGCCACATATATAATATGTAATTTTCTGGTAGCCACATTTAAAAAAGTAAGATGAAACTGGTGAAAATAGTTTTAAGATATTTTATTTAACCCACTGTTCCAAAATATTATTTCAATGTGCAATTAATATAAAAATTATTAATGAGGTATTTTATACTTTTCTGTTTCATACTAAGTCTTTGACATCTGGTGTGTATTTTACACTTACAGCACATCTCAGTTGGGTCTAGTTGCATTTCAAGTGCTCGATAGTCACGTGGCTACTGGCTGCGGTGTTGAACAGTACAGCTGTGGAGGGAAATATTAATCATTGGTGAGTGTTTTAGGAAGAGTAGGCCAGACAGGGTGGAAATCTCAAGTTATTTTGAGGGAGGTGAGAACAAGACTAGACAGTTTTTATGAGGTACGTTTCCTTATGTGAGAAAACTATAATTTTCTTCTAAGCAATGAATCAACATAAAAAATGTTATCCATTAGCAAATGCAGTCTCATATTATATGCCATCATATGACCTAGCTTTAAATGTTTCACTTCAGTCATTGGTAATTTGGGAAGGTATTTAATTAACCACGCTTAAACACTACAGAAACCAAAGATCTCAAATATTCTATTTTATAATATAGTGCCTGGTAGGCAGTCTGAAGAAAAGGTGTGTCCGGTGGCCTAATGCATGACCTGTATGGGAACATATGAAGCCTTCTTTGAAACAGGGCCCAGTTCATGTTGCTATTTAAGATTCACCCATGAGGGGGTCCCCTGTTGATCTGGGTTTCACACCCCACTTTTCTCTACCTTTGAAAATATAAAAGGCACTATCATTCCTGGCAGCACAACATGGATTCCTCTAAAACATTGGGCAATTTTTTGTTCCTCGTTAATCCCTCTGTCCCAGTACCGGCTGGCTAACTTGGAGTAAAAGTAAGCAAAGAAATGAGTCTCTCTGTTGTGTTCATTTTTCACCAGTCCTGATAATGAGTATTTGCCAAGAGTTATATAACTGTTAAATATAGTTCTCTAGACTAGAGAGAAGATCGATTCTTGTCTAGTCAGAAAATCAGCGCTTGTCCTGGAGACCAGTGTATCCAGATCTGGGCAGC